TTCCCCTAGATTTCCCCAAATCCATCCCAAGTTCCCCCTAAATTCCCCCAATTCCCCCAAATCCATCCCAAATTCCCCCAAACTCATCCCAAAATCCATCCCAAATTTCCCCAAATCCATCCCAAATTCCCCCAAATTTCCCCCAAATTTCCCCCAAATCCCCCCAACCCCATCCCAAATCCCCCCTCACATCCAGGAAGTTGTCCAGGAGCGTTGGGTCCTTGTTGATGATCAGTTCCTGCACCTGGGGACACGTGGGGACATCGTGGGGACATCGTGGGGACAGAGCCACCTCCCCCCAAATCCCAATTTCCACCCAAAATCCCGATTTTTCCACCAAAATCCCGATTTTTCCACCCCAAAATCCGATTTTTCCACCCCAAAATCCCAGTTTTCCACCCAAAATCCTGATTTTTCCCCCCAAAATCCCAATTTTTCCCCCCAAAATCCCCTTTTATTCCCCAAATCCCACTCATTCCTCCCACAAATCCCCATTTTTCACCCCCAAAATTCCCATTTTCCCCCCAAAATCCCATTTTTCCCCCCAAAATCCCATTTTTCCCCCCAAAATTCCCATTTTTTCCCACTCTCACCTGTTTTAGGATGGTGATTTTTCCCTCATTCCCGATCAGCGCCGCCTGGTTCAGCAGATCCACAACCTTGGGAAGCAATTTTTACTTTTTTTCCCAATTTTTTCCCAATTTTTTCCCATTTTTCTCACCCTTTCTGATGTGTTCCTCCCGTCCCTCCCATTCCCATTTTTCCGTTTTTTCTCATTTTTCCCGTTTTTCCCGTTTTTTCCCCATTTTTTCCTCACCCTTTCCGAGGTGCTCCTCCCGTCATTCCCATTTTTTCCCGTTTTTCCCGTTTTTTCCCTCACCCTTTCCGAGGTGCTCCTCCCGTCATTCCCATTTTTTCCCATTTTTCCCGTTTTTTTCCCATTTTTCCCATTTTTCCCCCATTTTTCTCACCCTTTCCGAGGTGCTCCTCCCGTCATTCCCATTTTTCCCGTTTTTTTCCCATTTTTTCCCATTTTTCCCGTTTTTTCTCTCACCCTTTCCGAGGTGCTCCTCCCGTCATTCCCATTTTTCCCATTTTTTCCCATTTTTTTCCCATTTTTCCCGTTTTTTTCCCCATTTCTCTCACCCTTTCCGAGGTGCTCCTCCCGTCATTCCCATTTTTTCTCATTTTTCCCGTTTTTTTCCCATTTTTCCCCATTTTTCTCTCACCCTTTCCGAGGTGCTCCTCCCGTCATTCCCATTTTTCCCGTTTTTTTCCCGTTTTTTTCCCGTTTTTCCCGGTTTTTCTCTCA